CGCTAACACATTTATCTGCTCGAACTGCCAACCACCAGCACTAAAATCTCACAAAATTCCAATGCAAAAATAAAGCAAACTTTAAAATGCGTGCATAATGACCACGTATGGAATAATGTTCCTCTTCAAAATTACATTGTCGTCACATTGTAAAAAGCGACGAAAAGCTAGTAAAATGCAAGAAACGAATAACTTAATCATTCGAAAGGAATTGGCAGAATCAGGAGAAAAGCATTCAAAAGAGGCAATTGAATGAATGCCTCACATCAATGGTGCGTGCATCGTTCGTTCGAAAGTTATCAGTCGAAATTGCGATATGTTTCGATAGGAAAGATCGAACACGATATTGCCACTTTCCAACGTAACATTCGCTAAATCCAAATCAAACTCATCCGGATCAGTGCATTGCCACTCGCGATTCGAACACGAACAACTGCAATCAATTAATCTCTCTTGAGAATCACTCGAAAATCCAAGTGATACGATAAGGAATGAGATTATTTTCAATTATCATCAGTAATCTATGGCTATCAAAAAACTTACATAAATCGTAAATATAAGTTAGATATAGTTGTATGACAACTATCAAACAACTACCTACATATAAGTTCTATGACTTATGATTAACAAACAAAAATGAAAATTTCAGATACATAAAATTACAAATAGAATTAAGATACATAAAAAAAAAACAAATGAAACTTCAGATACAAAACGGAAATCACAAACTTTTGATTGAAGTTGTATGACGGTGGACGTTTAGAAGGTAAATGGAGTGGATACAGAAATGATTCGTTTGCGAAACATGGATAATACGCACCGTCTAGCGATGGCCTTAAACATTATAAAATGATCTCCAAACGAGTGATCAAAATATGACACAAAAATAGACTCTCTGAAAACATTTCTAAATTTTTAAGTCACTAAATTTTATAAATGCAAAAATATAATCAATGTCGTAACTACAACAATCAAGTGAAAGCTCAATTGGTAAAGCGATTTTTTCGGAGAAATCAAATTACCGGATACATTTCGATGTAAACGCAAACGCTGAATATTTCTTGAATCCAATTCAATTATCTCCCTATTAGTGATTCTCAGTCAATAATATAAATTCACTTCAGATCACGGTCATTCAGTTCAGAGCAAACCCATCTTAACTCATATATCTCATCGATAGGATGATGATTTCGAAAATTAATATTTTCAGTGTCTAAGAAGCGAAAGTACTCAAAATTGGTCACACCATCATCAACCGCTTTACTGATACAAACTTATAATCCTCAGAAATCAGTGTCTATCAGAAAAACTTATAATATCTAATAAGAACTATAAAACAGAGAACTCTTTACCGATATCACCTCAGATCACGGTCAACTATAAAACATTTAAAGTTTGAAATGCATTATTCTATTCGCTCGGAAAGTCAAATTTCTTAAATTACAGAAGCAATTCAAAAACTCGCAAATTCTGAATGTTAAAATTCCTCAATATTAAACATCCTCAAATCAAAAATAATCCAAAAACAACTGCGCACATCAAATGACTATCGTTCGTGCAACGAACACCGATTCCAGGATCTGCCATCATTGCCTCCAAATACACCTCACCCGTCGAATTCTTCACTGTCTGCTGATTCTCTAAGCTGTAAACGAACTTTTTCACTTCAAACCAGCACAAACGAATTTCCCCAAATGACAGTACAAATCTTTCAAAGTATAAAAAAATTTCTTCTGCGAATGCCAAAAAAATACTTTCAATTTGAGTCTGTAAATGAAAACAAAAAACGCTTTTCGCAAAAACGTTTTCGTATGAAACGAAACATTTTCATCATTTTCCCATATCCAAATCAAGAAACAACAAAATAAACTTAAATTTGAACTTAAATTTAAATTTGTGCACTTCTNAAAACTTGAACATTAAATTTGAGTAATAAATTCGAACATAACAAGACTCTATAAGACATGACAATCCATGAACGAAAATTAAGTTAAAATTCCCAAAAACCGCAAATGATATCAACGCAAACGAAAAAGAGATCGCTAAAAAAGTACCCTCAGAATAAACCAAACCTGAAATAAGCAATCGACCAATTCCCATAAAGGCCTGTTATTAGTTCCATGGGACTTTGTGCGACGAACGACTGAACGTTTGGCGCTGTTTTATTCATAACTTTCGCGTAGATTTCGGCAGCCAACAGTAAACACAACGGTAAAAGTACCTACAAGTTGATACCATTAACTTCATCAATTTCCTTACTAGAAAAATACCTCAATACTTTAATTTTCAAAGAAATTTCACACTCCTAATTTCATAATTTTAGTTTTAATTTTATAACTTTCATTTTTTTTAAATCTCCACAAAATTTTTTGATTTTCATTTTCTTATCAACACTATCAATGATATTACTATTAACTTTATTCTTTTAATCGCTGCTATTATTACTTTATAAGATCTAAATGTGTAACTTAAAATCAGTGCTCAAATACAACAAATAAAATTGCTTTCAAGTTATCGCAATATACACATTAAATCTCCCAGATGACATCGTTACAATTCAATT